TCTTGGATCGCACATATCAAAGCTCTCAGATCACGCGGTCAGATAACTCATATCACGTGCAACAAATCTCTTAAATCACGCGCATTAGAAATCTCAAATCACACTCATCAGAGCTATCAGATCGCGTGACAAATCCTTCAAATTGTACGCATTAGAACTATTAGCTCGCGCAGCCAGATCTCTTAGACTACATGATCAGATAGCTTAGATCTTGCGAATTACATCTCTCAAATCTCGCACATCAATGCTCTTTGATCGTGCAACCAATTCTCTCAAATCGTGTGGTCAGATCTCTCATATCATACACACCATAGCTCTCAGATTACGTGCCCAGATCTCTTAAATCATGCTATCAGACCGCTCAGATCGCATGCATCAAACTCCTAGATCGCGTGCATCAGATTTCTCAGATCGTGCGGTAAGATTCCTAAGATCATACGCATAAGAGCTCTCAAATTGTGCGGTTAGCTTGCTCAGATTGAGAGCATCTAATCTCAGATCGCGTAGCCAGATCCGTAAGATCGCACGGCTAGATCTCTGAGATATTACGCATCAAAGCTCTCAGATCTTGCGTGCAACAGATAGCTCATATCAGAGCACCTAGATCACGCGGTCAGATCTCTTAGATCGAGCGATCAGATCTCTTAGATCGTATGAATCAAAGCTCTTAGATTGCGCGGCCAAATCTCTCAAATCACTCGGTAAGATCACTTAGATCGCGTGCATCAAACCACTCAGATCGTGTAGCCAAATCTCTCAGATTGTGCAGTCAGAACTCCTAGATCGTAAGCATCAGAGCTCCAAGATTGAGCGGTCAAATCGCTCAGATTACGTGAGTTAGATGTCTCAGATCATGTGCATCAGAGCTTTCAGATTGCACTGCTAGATCTCTTAGATCATACACATAAGAGCTCTCAAATCGCGTCGCCAGATCTCTCAAATTGTATGCATAAGAGCTCCTAGATCTTGCGGTTAGATAACTCAGATTGTGTGTATCATAGCTCTCAGATAGCACTCTCAGATCTCTCAGATCGTACGCATTAGATCTCTCATATTACGTGGCTAGATCTCTTAGGTCGTGCTGTCAGATCTCTCAAATCGAGTATAATAGAGCTCTCTGATCATATTCATCAAAGCTCTCAAATCGTGTAGCCAGATTTCTCAGATTGTGTTCATCAAAGTTCTCAGATTGCGTGGCCAGATCTATTAGATCTTGCGGTTAGATCTCTCAGGTCGCCGCATCAGATCTCTTAAATCACGCACATCAGAGTTCTTAGATCACGTAGTTAGATCTCTTTGATCATGCAATCATATCTCTTAGATTGTACGCATCAGATCTCTAATATCGAGCGGTTAAATCGTTTAGATTGTGCGCATCAGTGCTTTCAAATCGCGCAGCTAGATCTCTTAGATTGAGCAATCAGATCTCTCAGATCGTACACATCAAAGCTCTCAAATCGCACGGCCATATCTCTTTGATTGTATGACCAGATTTCTTAGATTACGTGCATCAAAGCTCTTCGATCATGCACATCAGAGCTCTCAAATCGCTCGACTAGATCTCTCAGATCGTACGCATCAGAGGTCTCAAATCGCTCGACCAGATCTCTTAGATAGTATGCATAAGAGCTCTTAGATTACGCAGCTAACTCTCTCATATTGCCTAGTCAAATAGCTCACATCGGTGCATCGGATCTCTCATATCGCGCACATCAGAGCTTTGAGATCACGTGGCTAGATCTCTTAGATCACACGGTAAGATCTCTAAGATCGTATGCATCAGAACTTTTAGATCGTGCGATCAGATCACTTAAATTATGCGCATCAAATCTATCAGATAGCGCGGCTGGATCTCTCACATCATGCGACCAGATCTCTTATATTGTATGGTCAGATAGCTTAGATCACGAGTACACATCTCTCAAATCTCGAGCATTAGAGGTCTCTGATTGCGCAACAAGTTCTTTCATATCGTGTAGTCAGATCTCTCATATCGTACTCATAAGAACTTTCAGGTCGCGCTCCCAGATCTCTCAAATTGTACGGTCAGGTCAGACTGTTTAGATCACGTGTATTAGAGCTCCCAGATTGTGTTGTCAAATCTCTTAGATCGTGTGGTCAGATCTCTTAGATCGTGCGCATTAGATCACTCAGATTGTGTGGTTAGATCACTTAGATCGAGTGAATCAGTGCTCCCAAATCAGACAGCTAAATCTCTTAGATCACACGGTCAGATCACTCAGATCGTATGCATCAAAGATTTAAGATCGTGCTGCCAAATCTCTCATATCGCGCCGCCAGATCGCCCAATCAGATAGCTTAGATCACACACATCAGATCTCTCAGATCACGTGCATAAGAGCTCTCAGATCGTGCACATCCATTCCCTCAGATCGTGCATATCAAGGTCACAAATCACGCGGTCAGATCTCTCAAATTGTACACATTAGAAATCTTTGATTACATGGCCAGATCTCTTAAATCATGTTGTTAGATAACTCAGATCGTGTGGATCACATCTTTCAGTTCTCGTGCATCAGAGCTCTTTGATCACGCGGCCAATTCTCTTAGATCGTGCGATCATATCTCTTATATCGTACGCATCAAAGCACTCAAATTGCTCGCCCAGATATCTCAAATTGCTCGGTCAGACCGCTCAGATCACGTGCATAAGAGCTCTCAGATTGTGCGCGCTAGATCTTTTAGATTGTGCGCATCAGATCGTTCAGATTGTACGGTAAGATCCCTAAGATCGTACGCATTAGAGCTCACAGATTGCGCTGTCAAATAGCTTGGATTACGCGTATCAAAATTTCTTAGATCGCGCGACTAGATCTCTCAAATCATGCGGTTAGATCTCTTAGATCGCATGGCCAGATCTCTAAAATCGTACGCACAGAGCTCTGACATCGCGTAGTCAGATAACTCATATTGTGCGCATTAGATCTCTCAGATTGCACACATCAGAGCTCTTAGATCACGCGGCAAGATCTCTTTGTAGGGATTCATGCATTTTGGACATGGAAAAGGTGTAGAAATGATGGACAAGATGATGGATGCAAGGTGGAACACAAACGTAACACATAAGCTCAAAAAATTTCAAGGTAAGGATGGAATATTACCCATTCCTTTGCTATTCAACACTTGAATCTTCTTTCTTGGAGTCTTAGTTCTTCAAGTGAACTTGAAAAATCTCAAAATGTGATCCACACAAGTCAAGGAAAAGAGAGCAGAGAGAGTGAGAGAGTGATTTTGTTTCAATTCTTTCAATTCAATGAAAATGGTATAACACTTGGTTTATATACCATGAGGACAAAGTGTAATTTTAAATTGTCTTGGGAAGTCCTCAAACAATTTAAAATTAATCTTGGAAAAGAGCATTTATGTCAAGTCCTTAGTTTTATGGTTAATTCATAATTAGCCCAAATTTTAATCCCTTTAGATATTCTAACTCTTTAGAATAAAACCAATGCACTTTTGTCCCCATTATTGAATCCGATTCAATAATAACATTTAATAAATCCTTATTACCCTTGGTTAGTGCTAGCTATCCATGGATAATCATTTCTCACCAATACATTAATTTGGATGCAACTGTTTACGTCTGAACATCATTAATCTGATTAATAATATGTATTACTCTCTCCTTGAGCTTGGTTTTATGTGTGACCATTTTGGTTCATTGTGATCTAGCCGTGGGCCGACTATCGAATTATGATATGTTTCGTTGTAACTCTTTATAATCGAAACTCCCACTGATTATGGTAGACGTCTAGCAATGTTCCATAACCCCTAAACCACAATGAAGTGTAAACTTCAAAGAACCTATTCTGATCGTACGTACCATGTAGTAAAATCCCTCCGTTATCTAATCCCAATTAAGAATGGTTCATGGTATGCCAAAACCCTTAACTTTATCTTTAGTTCAACTGTCAATCGATACAATGGAACTCGTCAATATGAAACTACTGTTCATCTGACATTCATTATTCTCTGGCCAGAGATTTCCCTTTTCCAATGTTTATTGACATTCATCTGGAAACTCAAGATTGGACTATTTTGAGTTAACAAACCCCATCTTGACATTACTTGTCCTTGCACATGAATAACATATGACCAAACCGGCTTATTACACAAGACATGATTAGTCTCGTGCTTATACACCATATGAACCATATGCATCCTATGTTGATTCCAACTGTGATGTCTCAGGTCTAAGGATCAGTGGTATACTAGCACGATCCCACGATGCATCATTGACCACATCCATGTGATTCATCGTAATCGATCATATTCGATAAACAGTTCACTAACCGTTTATCCATGCTAATGTCTTAGTAACATACCTTTTATAAGCAACCACACTAATACCATCACATGATATTCAATGGAGACATTCAACATGCCTACTATGCAATGTTATTGCCTAATTAACATTACTTACGTAGGGAATTCTTCGATGATTTGATCTTTTGAAGATCTATGTCATCCGGACATTTCACATGCAATATTAAATATAATACAATATAAATGAAGCAGTAAATCAACATATGAAATAAGAACACTTTCTTTTTTTCATAATACATTTACAAGATATAATGTCCTGAAACCGATAACACGATTGGTTCCTAGAGCAGACACTAACAAAACTCCCACTTGCACTAAAGACAATCGTTGTGGTATCTAATACCCATCTTCTGAACATGGTAGTCCAACTGCTTCTGTGTCATCGCTTTAGTGAGTGGGTCAGCTACATTCTCTGCTGAAGGTGTTTTCTGCACCAAAATTTCTCCAGCTCCAACAAATTCTCTCAAAATGTGATATTTACGCTGAATATGTTTTAACTTCTGGTGCGCCCTTGGTTCCTTTGCCTGTGTAATAGCACCAGTATTGTCACAATACAAGGTTATCAGATAAACCATATTTGGAACCACACCAAGTTCAATCATGAACTTGCGCATCTAGACAACTTCCTTTGCTGCTTCTAAAGCGGCAATGTATTAAGCTTCTGTAGTGGAATCAGCAGTAGTCAACTGTTTTGAACTCTTCCAACAAACTACACCTCCATTGCATATGAAAATGAACCCGGATGTAGACTTTCTATCATCCACATCTGATTGAAAATCAGAATCAGAGTATCCATCAATTTTCAACTCTGAACCTCCATAACTTAGTACTAGATCCTTGGTTCTTCTTAAGGACTTAAGGATCGTCTTAACAGTTGACCAGTGTTTTTCCCCTAGGTCGGACTGATATCTGCTTATAACACTCACAACGTACGATATAACAGGCCTAGTACATAACATAGCGTACATGAGACTACTGATGATTGAAGCATAGGGTATCCCACGCATCTGCTCGCACTCTTGATTAATCTTTGGACTCATATCTTTTGAAAGATGAATTCTGTGGCTGCAAAGTAAAATTCCCTTTTTGGAGTCTTGCATGCCGAACCATTTCAACATCTTTTCTATGTACATCCTTTGGGATAAGCCTAATAATCTTTTCGTTCTATCTCTATAGATACGAATTCCTAGGATGTAGGTCGCTTCTCCTAAGTCTTTCATGGAGAAAGTTCTAGATAAGCACAACTTAACTTCACCCATCATCCTAATGTCATTTCCCATCAATAGTATGTCATCTACATACAGTATAAGAAATATGATTGCATGATCCTTTGTCCATTTATAAATACAGGGTTCATCCAGATTCTTTATAAAACCAAACATTTTAATTGTTTCATCAAATCGGATGTTCCAGCTTCTTGAAGCTTGTTTTAACCTATAAATGGATTTATGCAGCTTGCACACTTTATTTCTTTCAGAACTGGATACAAAACCTACAGGTTGTTGGATGTAGATATTTTCCTCACTGAATCCATTGAGGAATGCTGCTTTGACATACATCTACCATATCTCATAATCATAGTGTGCAGCTATGGCTAGCATAATTCTGATTGATTTAACCATAGCGACTGGTGAGAAAGTTTCCTCATAATCCAACCTTTGTTTCTGAGTATACCCTTTTTCAACCAGTCTTGCTTTGTAGGTTTCTACCTTTCCATCCTTGCCAATCTTTCTCTTGAAGATCCATTTACATCCAATGAGAACTATTCCTTCTAGAGGATCAACGAGAGTCCATACTTGATTTGCATTCATGGATTCTATCTCAAAATTCGTAGCTTCTAGCCATTTTCCAGAGTCGATATCTAATATTGCTTCTTCATAGCTTCTAGGATCATCCCCATGACTGACTTCTCTAATCATGAAAGATTCAAAAATCTCTTCATGAAGTAATTCATATCTTTCCGAAGGTCGAGATACTCTAGATGATTTACGAATCAGAACCGTTTTAGGTATTAAGGTTTCCTGAGAAGGACCACCTATCTGAGTATTTTCGGTCTGAGGCTCCTCGGACTCTTCCTAGAGCACAATTTTTCTTCTCCCACCACCCTCTTCTAAGAACTCTTTCTCAAGAAAGTGTGCATTCTTGCTGATCGAAATTCATTGATAAATGTGGAAGTAAAAATAATATCCCAAACTATTTTTGGGATAGCCTATAAACAGACCTTTCTCATATCTAACGTCTAACTTATCTATCTTGACAATCTTAACATAAGCTGGACAAACCCAAATTCTCATATATTTGAGACTAGGAGGTTTACCATACCATATCTCATATGGTGTCTTCTCAATAGATTTAGATGGTGCTCTATTCAGAATATTCACAGCGGTTTCAAGGGCAAATCCCTATAATGACGTTGGCAAGTCAATGAAACTTACCATCGACCGTACCATATCCAATAAAGTACGGTTCCTCCTTTCAGATAGGCCATTATGTTGTGGCGTATACGGAGGAGTCAACTAGGATATTATACCATTATCCTTTAGAAAATCTCAAAACTTTATACTTAAGTATTCACCACTACAATCTGATCGCAGAGTTTTAATACTCTTTCTGGTCTGTTTCTCTACTTCAGTCTTAAACTCTTTGAACTTTTCCAAGGATTCAGATTTGTGTTTCATTAAATACAAATACTCTTACCTAGAATAATCGTCAGTAAAGGTAATGAAATATTGAAAACCTCCTCAAGCTATTTCATTAAATGGTCTGCATAAATCTGAATGTACAACCTCTAATAATTCTTTGGATCTTTCCCCTTTACCCTTAAAGGGCAATTTGGTCATGTTTCCTTGAAGACAAGATTCACAAGTTGGATAGGGTTCTAAACCCAATGGGCTTAAAAACCCATTTGCTTCTAACCTAATTATCCTTTTATCTCTTATATGACCTAATCGATGATGCCAAAGTAATTTTGGATTAATTTCATTTTGAGATCTCTTATTTTTAATAGTATTAATTATGTCATAATCATTCATTACCAAAACATACAAACCATTTGTATTAATTGCTTTGCCAACTAATTCATTTCCAAAATAAATTAGACATTCATTTCCATTAAACTGTATTTTGTAGCCAGATTCACATAAAACAGAAATAGAAATTAGATTTCTAGTCACTTTGGAAAAATAAAAAGTTTTGTACAAATACAAAATGTGTCTCGATGGTAATGATAAGTGGCAAGTCCCTATTGCCTCGGCCATAACTTTTGCTCCATTTGCCATCTTTAGAATCACTTCATTCTTTGACAATGCAGAACTATTCTGCAATGCCTGTAATGAAACACATATGTGAGATGCAGTTGCTGAATCTAATATCTAGGAATGATCATTTGAACTAACATTTAATTCAAATTATATAACACAAGAATGGAACATACCTGCTCGAGCTTTCTCAAAGCTCTCCAGATAAAGAGGAAAATTTCTCTTCCAATGTCCATATTTCTTATAGTGGAAACACTTTCCTTTATCATCGACCTTTTCTTTGCCCTTCTTGGTCTTAGAAGCATCCTTCTTAAAAGGTTTTTTATGTGGTCCAAGTTTTGGACCTTTCTTTTGCTTCCATTGCTTTTTCTTAGTCTTACTAGAAGAAGCTGCAAAAACATCCTCTTGGCCCTTCTCGAAAACTTCCTTTTCTTGCAATGTGGCAGCAGGAGGCAAAGAAAGTGGAAGGGGTGCTTCCAAGACATACCCGACCTTTTCGGAATTTAGAACAATTCTCAAATTCCTTAACCAATTATTAAAATTCGGTCCGATCAACTTGTTCTCATCGAGAGTTGTCAAAAGCAGGTCATTGCTAATTTTCATTAACTAAATATCACAAAAATACCAAAAGACTATAAGGAAAAATATAAGTTTTATTAGTGTCTTTTAAATTTAAACCTTTAATGCTAATCTTATTAGCTCCCACTATTTTATTCAAATCCCATACTCCCCTGAATGACGATTTGGAAATTTCGTTGGAATAAATTTCTAGTGGGAAATCAAATTCTTATTAAATTTAATTAAACCTCACATAATAGAAATCTTGGTCAATTAAATTTAACAAGTAGGGAACTATTCCCTTTTATATCACTATATAAGGTATGATTCATTCCTTGCCTCTAGTTTTGGATACCTCACATAATAGAAATCTTGGTACCCTACACTAGTTAAATCCAACCCATTATGCTTTCTTAAAATAGAATTCTCATTATACCCTCACATTATAGAAATCTTGGGTATTATGAAAATTTCTATCCAAGAACTAAGACAATTAATTCTATGTCATAAAATTAGCATCCCTCACATAATATAAATCTTGGGATCTCTAATTTTATGCCAAAGAATTAATTGGCCCATAATGGAAGGCTCGGATCTAATATTGTTCATTAGGGAGATTAACCTTTGATTAAAAAATGTTAACATTTATCACATACATTAATTCAAATGCATCCATATAAATATAAAACATGGCGGGGTGATCATGGGGTTTTTTTTTTTTTTTTTGAAAATACATCCTAATTAGCTAAACTATTCACCTAATTCTATCACTCCTTGCGGATCCACATCCGGTGGTTGTTCGGATCTTCATCCTCCATCCGATCGTACGATTACATAAACCAATTTAGGACATGTAGGCCCAGGTAACAAACTAATAATAAAATTAATTATTATTGCAAGCCATTGAAAGAATATTACATGCCCAAATATCAAATATTTTTGGGAAAAATAAATATACACTCATGATCATCCCCTAATTAATTTTCATCCATCACTTTAATAAATATTAATTCAATCAAGGACATATAAATAATTATTTATGCAAGTTACAATAATATTTATAAATAAAAGACTTTATGTAATAAATACATAAAAATATGCCATCATTGAACCAAGGGTACATGCATAATTTTACTACCCTTAAAAATATACTATCATTATATTATGCATCATATGAATATAAAATATCTTATATCATCCATCATACAATAAATACTCTCTCACATCATGTCTTACCAAATTAAGAGCCAACAAAACACATCAACTATGCATTACAAAATCCATTAATGATACACGCATATTTACAAATTCATCAAATTAACATGCTATTTACTTAACCTTCATCCATACACCATTTGACCATTATCAAAACATAAACAATTCAAGCACCGTTCAATCTATGATATGGCCGAATGCGATACCAATTTGCATCAATCCATCACATCTCTCAGGTCGTGCAGCCAGATCTCTCAAATTGCGCGACCAAATCTATTTGATTGCTTGGTCAGATCTCTCAGGTCGTGCATTCAGGTGTCTCAGATCATGCACATCCAGATCTCTCAAATCTTGTGGTCAGACCTCTCAGGTGGGCGCCTTAGATCTCTCAAATCATGCAGTCAGATCTCTTTGATCGCGAAGCTAGATCTCTAAGATCGTATGCATTAGAGCTCTCATATCGCGGAAAGATCTCTAGGATCATGCGGTCAGATCTCTCAAATCGCATGCATAAGAGCTCTCAGATCGTTCGGCTAGAACTCTCAAATCACGTGGTAAGATCGCTCAGATGGCATGCATCACACTTCTCAAATCACGCGCATCATAACTTTCAAATCGCGCTCCAAATCTGTTAGATCGTGCGGTTAGACCTCTCAGATTGAACGCATAAGGGTTCGAAGATCGCGCGGCTAGATCTCTCAGATCGTACGTATAAGAGCTCTAATATCACGCACATCAAAGCTCTCAGATTGCACGTGTCAGACCTCCAAGATCGCATGCATCAAGGCTCTCAGATCTCGTGCATCCAATCTCTCAGATCATGTGGATCAGAGCTCTTAAATCGTGCGGCCAGATCTGTTAGATCGTGCAGTCAGGCTCTCAGATCGTATGCATCAAAAGGTTTGAGATCGTGCAACAAAAAATCTCATATCACGCAGTCAGATCACTTAGATTGCGCGTATCACATTTCTCAGATCGCGCGCATCAGAGCTTCTAAATCGCATAGCCAAATCTGTTAGATTGTGCGGTTAGATATCTCAAACGCATAAAAGCTCTAAGATCACGCGGCTAGTTTTCTCAGATCGCAC